TCTTTTAGCTTCTCTCTTTCACTTTTGCATTGGCCCTTACTCTCCACCTAACTCTTTTTATGATGCCTATGGCCTAGGCATTCCTGGGGACTGTACAACAAAGAAGCTGTTGAGCCCTGGGGGTTTAGGACAAATGCTAAAATTAAAAACTGGATCCAGAGCCGGGGTGTGGTGGCACATGCCTGTAATCCCAGTGGTTTGAGAGACTGAGACAGGAGGACCATGAGTTCAGCCTCAGTAACTTAGCAAGGTGCTAAGCGACTCAGTGAGGCCCTGTCTCTAAATAAAAAACAAAATAGGGCTGGGGATGTGGCTCAGTGGTTGAGTGCCCCTGAGCTCAATCCCCAGTACCCCCCACGCCGCCTGAAAACACAAATGTATCCAGATTTCCATTTCCTTTCTCATACCAATGAATGAAGCTTTTTCCAGTTGTTAACTACTGTAAATCCTACCCAAGATTTATTACAAGGATTGGTGGTATACTTCAGAGTAGTTGCCTAGCATGTGCTAGGCCCTGAGTTCAATTCCCAGCAATGCAAAAAAGAATATTTTAAGAGACAGGAGGTAAAAGAAATGACATTTTCCACCAGTCCTGTAAACTCTGCTAATTAAGTCCCCCACTCCTTCTAATACAAGCAGTCTGTGATGGTGACAAGAGCAAGAACTTCAAGTACGTTCTGGATACTTCAGTGTTAACAACTTTCATGGAAATGTTTCAGTTATCTACATTAACTTTCTCTCCTATGTTTCCATAAAGTAGTTTATGCTTTGGAATACACACAACTGCACCTTGGTTTTAAACAAACATAGCATCCCTCATCAGCCTTAATTTCCTGTTCCATCTTCTTCTTTCTATCCAGTAAGATATTATTTGCCCCCAGGAACATTTTCCCTTTACATAGCAAGATCCTGAAAGTGATGTCATTCAGCCTTGGCAGAGCATTGTGCTTTTTACAGGACCTCCTTGGGCTGGTCACTTGTGGGTTTGTTTGTTTGCTTGGTATTTTTTTTTCAATTTTTAAAATTTAAATGGAGAAACCAACTGTCCAAATATTCTTCAGCCTCTGTGAACATGAGTACATTTGATATACTGACATTAATACATACTAGAGTTTCTTTTCTTTTCTCTTTTTCATAATTAGGTAAGACTCCAGGAAAGTGCTAGAAGTACAAAATTAGAAACTGATCACTATAATTTTATGGAGAAAACAAGCAACCAAATCTAGCCCACAACTACACCTGAAGTCCTGTTCTAGACACCATGTACACAAGAGATGGATTTTCCGTCTCCAAGTCCCTGTCATTACATTTTGCTCTGTCAGTTCACATTCTGTGCAAAGGACAGCAAGCCATGCTCACTTAGGACAGTCACACTGTAGGGCCAGTACTGTGTTAAGAGAGAGGAAGGTTATCCTATACCCCTATGTTGTGGCCCTCTTTTGTGCAAAGATCTGATCATTTCTGTCATTTGAGACAGTCTTTGATTTAATGGGCAAAAATCCAGAAGTAATTAAGACAGTAATAGTACACACCCAACAAGAAAAACATGCCATGTTTAGAGTAGAAATCCCAGCAGTTGAAGGCTGTGATTCTGCATTTCTGTGGAGGGAAAAGAGATCTTGAGATCAAAAGCAAAAGCCATCATTGACTTACTAAGCTCCTTTTTGGCAGAAAGGAAAAAATTACTAATTCATTCTACATTTTTCTGGTGAGATCATGGTGGTGGGAGAAGATACGAAAAATTTCCTTAAAGTTTGAAGGTTTGCAAATAACTATTTGTTATCATGATTAATTTAATAAAATAAAATAAAAATCATCAAAGGGCACTATCTTTTTGGTTTAATCTTGTAGTAGGGCAGGCATTATTATATAGTCACTAGTCACTACTAGCCTTTGCTTGAACCCTGAAAAAAAAACTTTATAAATAACACAGTAGAAGCTTCATAACACGATTCCAGTTGTTTTCTTTCTGTTAAATCTGTAACTCTATCCTGATTTTTATCTCTCTGAAGACTTCTGGATATTTACAACATAAGGAAAGTCTTGTTTCCCTAACTCAAGGCCTTGGTGAAAACATAATCATAAAAGGCATTTCTATTTAAACTAAAAACTGCTAAGTTCTAGAAATTTACTTTGTAATTTCACGAAGTTTCAATTCAACTTGATTCTTTAATATTTATTTCCAAAGACTCATTCATAATTGTTTTGCAAAAAAAAATTCCCAAAATTATTCCAAATTACTTGTTATTCATAACCTCCTTATTGAATATCTCCAGTCTAGAACTAATTTATTTTTTCTCATCTGTGCCTTCAGACTCTTCAAAGCTATTGCTAAACTCCTTCCCTGGCTTACTATAATTTTTTCTTATCAAGGTAATTTCTGAATCTTACATGGAAGAAAATGGAAAAAAATGTGCTATTTTCTTAAAAATACTCAGTTCTAAACAGTATTTCAGAAGTGACAAAAACAAAAACAAAACAGTAGATGATGTGTGCAGTTGGTTTGGAGCTCTTAGCGCTCCAAACCAAAAAAAAAGTCTCCTGCCTCCGCAGTTGGAGGCCTCCTTAACACCCAGGTTGGTGAGCTGTGTCCCCCCTTCTACTTCAGGATGAGCTTCTGGACACTTTTTAGGGCAATTTATGTCTTGTGAATTTTCTGAAGTTGAGAAGGGCCTAATAAAAGAGAAGCCATTTGCAAAATCAGGGTTTGCTTCGGAGGTCCTAAGAAAATCCTCGAGATACCATATTTGAAAATATTTGAAGATTGTTCACTTGAGTAAATACTTAAGCCTGCCCTCCCTCACTTTCTCGGGCCTGTAGCCATATTACTCACCCTCAAAGAATTCATCAATATTCAACTGGCTTGCTAATTTGCTGATGTAGCAAAAGGAGTTTAATAAAGAAAGCTGTTGCCATTTTTCTTTAGAGGACATGCCACAAACTCAACTTTCATCTTACAGCGGGAGAATCTTCTGAATTTAGGTAAGGAAATGAATGCTTACATGCAGCAACCCAAGTAAATTTTCACACCAAGCTGAGCCTTAAAAAGCCCAGAGAAAGCCTTTCACCCCAAGGACACAGAGGCTTTATAAATGATCTATCTGAGGATTTAGAAACTTGTTCTGTCACGTCTGGCAGCCCGACAAACTTTCAGCCATGTCCACGAAAAGATTTTGAAGATGTTAATAGGGGAATTTTAGCTCTTAGTATCAGTTTTTAGCGCCCGCCGAAATCGTACACGTTATCAGCCGTTTTAAACCCTTTCCTGAAAAGAAAATCTTGGTCTACAAAATCTTTTTGGTTAACTTCTCAAATTAACTTTGCAGACCCTAGAAGACTCCACTCTTCTGCCCTCTAGCCCCTTCGCATCCAAAAAAACCCACAGACGCCGGCAAAAGGCCGCGGGCGGATTGCACGCCTTGAGTCTTCAAGATCGCCCTTGCAAAGGAAGTCAATAGAAGTTTTTACATCAGTTCTACAGAAATAGCAGTAAAATGCATGCGAGAGTTAAGTAGCCCAAGAAACAAGAACGGAGCACCGCGGAATCAGTGGTTTTATTTTTGAATACTGATTTGGTGTGCGTGCGTGCGCGCGCGCGTTTCACTGTTGCCGTTTTCTTTCGGCACCTGACTTTTCTTCCCACAGCCCGCACGCGGTTCTCGATTATCTGGTGAACAGTCTACCGGCTGCGACAACTTCGGCTTCCCTGGGGAAGCGTAGGGGTTCCTGGCCACCGCCGCAGCTATAAGCGCGCCACTCAGTTTCCTGCGGTCGGCGAGTTCCCTTATTAGTCCGCGGGCGCAGCAGAGCCTATCCGGTCGAGTCGGGCCCCCGGGCAGCAGAAAGACTCCAGAGAAGCAATCCCCAGCCTGGGTCTCCAGGCAAGCAAGCCCCGCAGCTCCTCCGCTGCTCCTCCGCAGCGCATTGTGCCTGGCTACCCACCTGTCTGGGGTCCCCATGGCCACTCCGGGCCTTCGTCCCTTGCTCTGGGCCTTGTCAGCTTCAGGCCAGCGCTACCCATTGCTCTTCCCGTCCAGATCCCACTGAGTTTGAGAGCTGCTGGCTTAAAGATTTGTCCCACCCGGGACAGGGGGTGAAAAAGAAGCCGCGTTCATTTTCCACGACAGCGTACAGGCACTATTTTATAAGGGGTTTCTCTCAAAAATTTTATTGTGACATTTTGCAAATATACAAGAAAATTGAAAGAACAGTACAATGAATGTCTGTTTACCCCCCCACGCACACACACACCAGGTAGCAACTAATGTTAGTATACTGCAACTTTCTCTCCCCCCTCCTCCATGCATGTGTGTGTGTGTGTGTGTGTGTGTGTGTGAATGTGAGCGGATGTTAGTTTAGCTGCATCATTTGAAAATTTCAGACATCGTAACGTTTCACTTCTCTACACTTCGGTATTATCTTTTGCGGATAAGGACATCATCCTACCTTCAATGCCATTCTCACGCCCATTAAATAACATAGGTCCCTAACAGTATCTAGCATCCCAGAATAAGGGCTCGCTTTCTCTTCTGTTTCTAAATTTTAATTCCCTTCAGTTTCCCTTCTTGGACTGCACACATGTATAAAATATTGCTCCCTCCCTCCGGGCCGTGCCCTCAAAATGGACCATCAGGACCTAAGGGGGCTCGTCCGGTTCCAGGGACTTTTCTAAAGAGAGCTTTGTAGCGTGATCAGGTCAGGGGAGTCCCAACAGATCGGGACTCAAATGCTTGGCGAGAGCGTTATGCTCACGCAGTCTGAAGTCCCCTGTTTCATCTCCCAAATCATTTCAGACATACCCAAGAAGCACAACTCAAGAGGCTTCGCTCAACCACCCAGCAGCGCCTTGCTGGCAACTCAAAGGACACCATGATAGGACCAGTGAGCGCAGGGTGGCTTCTGTCGGGTGGGTCTCTGGGTGTGCCCTTGGCTTAGCCATTCTCTATTTTCCCTTTTTTTTCTCCCTGGACCCCTGCTATTCTGCTCTGCATTCGGTTATTATGGGCGCCCTGTGTCCTTCTTGGCCCTCACCGGCTTGGAGCCAAGGCTGTGGCGCTGAGCGCCTGCATACCGCCCCCCCTTCCCTACGGCTCCCTCTTTTCCCCTCCCCCCTTCCGCCCCCGGGCCCCAAGGAGGAGCGGGAGAACTGGGGGGCGGGGAGCTTGAGCACCGCGTGGCCACGCCCCCCAAGCCGGCTTTTTCTAGGACCGCTCCGGGAGCCTCTCTGCTGGCTGCTCCTGCTCGCTCCCTGGGTGCGCACCGCTCCTGCCCTGCGCTCTGCTCAGCTCTGCTCGGCTCCGCTCCATTCCGCCTCCACCACGCCTCTCTCCGAGCTTCGGCCACAGCCAGCGGAGCGCGCCCGCGGTGCCGCCACCCCAGCCCCCGGCTCTGGGTGCCTGTTGCTCCGTGCCAGGCACCTCGCGCCGTGCGATCCCACCGTCTCCCAAGTCCTGGCCGTGTTCTGTGCCCCGGCCCTCGCCCTCTCTCGCTGTTTGTCTGTCGGTTTAGCTGTCTTTCCGCCTCCCCACCCACCTTTTCCTTCCTCCCTCTCTCGCTTGCTTGTTCCTTCGCTAGCTCTCAGACGCGGCGAAGCAGCTTCGCAGGAAAATCCCAGAAACCTTTGCAAAAAGCTTACAATGAAATTTAAGAAGTTCTTCGATTTCGGCGCCATTTTCGAGTGGAACGAGAGGTGACATGCGATTTTTTAAAAAGGGACTTGTTGGCTGGCATTTTTCCCCAATTGTAACGTTGGTTATGGGAGTCTGAAACAAGTCTAGTGATAATTCTGAAAAAAGTTTTGTGTCGCTTTGGGGTGGGAAAACACGTTTGAGGGTTGGGCTTGGGGGGTGAAATAGACCTTTAAAGTGTTCATCAAGTGAGCGTGGCCGGGAAAATTCTCAGGAAACCGGCTGAGAAAAGTTAACATTGGGAGGGGCTGGGAGAGAAAACTGAGTAAGGGGCAGTGACTGACTGTCAATCTCTCCCGGGTTGGAAACGACCTGTTTTGACGGAATGTAAATGGGTTTTTGGTAACTCGTATTTGTAAGCAGTAAAATATGTCTTGGGAAGAAATGTGAGAATAATTTTGCATTGCCCTTCCCGAATTACAGCTTTCAAGATTGTTTAGTTTTCCCGGTAGGAAACTTGACATTGGGAAAGTTTGGCCCGAATGCGCACAGAAAAAGCGCACCATGTGTTTGGGGTGTGGGGAACAAGATATTTGCAAATTTAAAAGACAACGTTTTAAAATATGAACAGAGGAAGAGGCGTATTCTTTGGCTCTTAAATCATTTGGTCAAACACGTTGCAGTTCAGAAGGGGGTGGGGCTATGGCAACTCGAAAGTATTGATTCTTTGTCTATTGTATCAGCGAATGACCCTCTCCTGATGTGACAAGACTCCTCTTTGTACTCTCTTTTCGTAAGTAAATTTCAGTCTCAGGGGACATTCATAAACTAGGGAATCGAGGTGGCTTTTTTTGGATGTAAGTCGTTGTACAGTCACTGAGAGAGAAGAAAGGGGTTAAGAGGAAAGTATTAATGAATTCGATTCCAGTGAGTTCACAAAGTAATGTGGAAGGACCTTCGCCTTTTGATACCTATGTTATTTCGAAAGAACTTTGCTTTTCCTAAGGGAATGTTAAATTAGAAGTGATTTTAACCTCTGATGTGATGACTCACATATTTGTGCAGGACATAAAATATTTAATTGGGAGAAAGTTACGGACTTCTAAAGTATAATCGTACATTTGCTAAACATGTATTTTTTTTTCTTTTTAAGGGCAACCAACGACGTTTTTCCTCCATTAATCCCAAAGGTCAATGTAAAAATCGTTAATATAGCCAAAGCAAGATGGAATTTAGAGACACTTAATTGTCCGAATTTAGGAAGTGGCATTAAATTGTAATTAATGACTTTGTTTATCATGATGAAAAAAGTGTATATGTTAGTAACAGATCTCAGGCTGTTGTTTTATGAATTTTGTACCTAATCTCATTAAGTACTCTGCATATTTTATTAACAAATAGGACACGACATTCATTACACTGGTTTAAAAAAATCCCACATAATTTTAAAATGAAACAAAAACAAATAGCAGATTTGGTTACTTTAAATATCTACTATTTGTACTTAAATGTATTTTAATTTTCAAAGCTACAATGGTTTTGTTCTTTTAACTTTTAGGTTTGTGATTCCAGGTTTAAGGGTGTTTTTTTTCCTTATGCTTACTTGAATATTTTGTTTTAAAAAAGGAGAGGAATGCATGAATTTATTGCTAATATATGTCCATTTTGAAAAGAAAAAAGTGGTATCTAATGAGTTAATCATTAAGGAGCATGCACAGTGCCGGCCATTTCAGGACGTGAGTTTCTGTGGAGCTGCTTGAGACAGGAAGGAGTGATTTGACATCAAGAATTTAAACTTTTTGATTTGTGTTTTGATGGGTGACATTGATAGGTGTAAATCACTTATAAATAAGTTTGAGTCCGCAGTTTAAAAAATTATCTCTCATTCTTTGCCATTAAAAAATAACTCAAAGTGATTATCGCCTTTAAATCATCCGTGTTTATTTTCAATAAATTAAAACGGGGCTTTTTAAAAAATGGGGACAATTAATGAGAAATAATATGCAGCAGGAAGAAGTTTCACCAAGACCTTGAAACTGGCAAGAGTTAATGCAGATGTTGCCAAATTGTCTCGATTTATTTAATCTTATCTTTCGTGTATTTTTCAGAGGTAAGATTCTCTTCCATCCTAATTCCCATCACCCATCGCTCTGCATTTCAGCGCTGTATTCATTCTCCGCGGGTCGGGAGGGAATCAAGAGCCACACCCTTCACTCTGCCTGCAGATCCTGGAAATCAAACTGCGAAGTTATTAAAAGTACGTTAATTGGAGAGTCGTGTCTTAGTCTTTTACTTCATCCTCCCAATTGGGCGGGGCAGGGTGGGACTTCTTTCCTGTCACCTATTCTTTCTTCACCCGCAGGTATCCCAGAGCAGTACCCCTTCGTTGACTCCGAGGGGATGCAGCAGCAATTCATGTTTTGAAGTGCTCTAAATGGTTCAAAACGTGAGGCGCTGCTATACCCCCTCGCGGGGAAGGTTGAAGGTGGGGATCTGCTGGATACCACCAGGACCCGTTCCCTGCAAGGCAGCTTTCAGAACAGGTAGGTGGGGCGCGGGGGGTGGGTGTCTTGTGGTCTGCGCCCTTTGCTGCCCAGGCAGCACCACCTTAGTCGCCTTAGTCGGGGGAGGGCTACAGTGTTCTGCCAGACTGGGAGGGGCAGCAGGTCGGGGGTCGCTTGTACGCAGGCAGTTCACATTGAAAAGGAACCTGGTGTCCCACACTCAGCACTCAGCCGTGCCCTAGCAGCGGGAACAGTACTGCAGTGATCCATTGGTGCCCTGGAGTATTGTTCCTGCTGCCAGGATAAGTCTGGGACTTTTCTACGGGCCCACCACCCAGGTAAGTCGCCTGCAGCATCTGCCCTGGGAGCAGCGACACACTCTCTTGGGACTAGCCAGTTTGTCCTCCAGGAAACGTTTGCCTGCCTGTCTTTGAATACGTGACTGGGTGTGACAGGCTTTATTTTAGCAGCCTTTTTGCCTGCCCAGGTAAAGAAAGCTGAAATGATGGGGGGGGGGGGGAGAAAGCCCTTTCTGATGACGTATTAGAATGCCACCCACTGGACATCGAGGAAAGCTCGTCTTAAGTCCCCAACAAGGAAACAGGTGGGGATGTGGGAAAGGAGTAAGGGGAGGCAGAAAGGGGGTTGACTGCCAGCTACCCCTAATTCTCTCAGCGGTTCCTGGTAAACCGGCTCATGTCCTTGAGTGGAAAGCACTTTTGACTTCAGGAAAGATTATGGGGCCCTATTCCCGCATCTCCCCTTCCTTACCTCTACTGTGTTGCGGGGAGCTTTCCTGGACTTCAGGTATCCAAGAAGGATCAAGCGAGGCCTTTCTGGAGGGTAGGTGAACCCAAGGCGATGTGGAGGGCAATGACCCTTCCCTAGGAATCTGAGTCTGCGGCCAGCAGGGACTGCAGTGACCTGAGGACAAGGCCCTGCAATGAGGCTCTGTGTTTCTAACTTATTTTTTCCGCCTCTCCCCAAATCGGGCCCCAGATTTCTACCCCGAAGGTGCGACACCAACCACACCTTTGTCACTCTAGAAAAATCACAGGAGGTCCCACTGGAAAGGCATTAGCTTCACAGCTCAGGACAGCACCTGAACTGTCAATTCAGGGGCCCTTCGTGATTCCAAACTTGAGGGCAGGTGCTATCGCTAATTAATGCTGCACATCAGCACCTCCACCCCTCATTTGACTGGCCCATTAAGCCTTTGGTGAGAAAACGGGGGAGGGGGGTTGTCGCCTAGGAACTTCACAGTTGACCTAGAAAAGAGGACTATCCCTATGAAAATCACTTTAGATCTGATTTTTTTTTTTTTTTTTAATCTGAGGCCTGGTCAGGTAAATGACTACTGGCAAACAACGAAGGGAGGTGTGGAATCTTTTCCCACGTCTTTTTGTCATCTTAAAGGACAAAACCAAAACTTGCACACGCACACACGTAACCCTCTTGTTGCTATGAGACACCTTGTAATAGTCTTACCGAGGGGCCGGCCGTGGGACCCTAATTTCCAGTTTGGGGGGAGACCCAAGGTTGCGAGTAGTCTAGAGCGGAGAGTCTGGCTCCAGCCGCGCGAAACATTTGCTCTCCCAGACTCCCTTGCGCCTGAGCAATGCAGTGCGCGAGGGAGGCTTGGGTCCCTTCGGGCCAGCGGGGTCCCTCAGGCTCCCAGGGGCGCTGCGACCTTGAGACCTCTGCAGGCTCTTGACTCCCTTGCCGCTGCGCTGCTATTCCCGCCCCCAATGGCCAGGGCCCCTCCAGCCCGAAGTCCCCGGGCGCGAATGGCGAACAGGTCTGTCTTCCATTGCACTGGGGGTTGGAATAGGACCACCATGAGATTCCCCTTCTGCAGCTAACCAGCTTCCCTTTTTTTTCTTCCCGTTCTGTATGGTTCTCCTTCGAGCCAGGAGAGAGTGCCGCCCAAACTTCCTGGAGGACCTTGTCCACGTCATCTGGCTCCCTTCAGAGGGCGCCTGCAGGATCCAGGTGAGGCACCGATTGCGATTGATTGCGATTGCGGACCAGGAGGGGAGGAGGGCAGGGGAACGAGGGATCCTAATTTGGGGGCGTTACCTTCCAGAATCTGGGCGGCCTCTCTCAGGGCTCCCAAAAGGTGCCCAAATTGAGCTCCTCCACACAACCTCCTGATAGCATGGTGCCCTTCTGACTTAAAACATTCCTTCCACCTTTAATTACACAAAGTTGCAGTATGCCTAGATTTTCCTCCAAGGACAAAATTCTGAATAAAACAATATTTTAGCCGAACATTTCTGTGTCAGTTAAGAAGATGGCAATTCGTTCCAGACTATAAATTCTCTTTAACAACTCCCTAAATTATTTTTAAAAATTGTTTTGTTTTTCAACATTGCTAAATGTGCAACATAATGTATGGGAGACATATAAAGTGAATCAGTGTATAGTCAGCTGATTAATTGATCCAGCTTTACCACCCTCAACTAGACACCTTTCCATTGTTTGCCCAATTTTTCCCAACACATGGTATTTGTTAGTGAGGAAGCTGCTGGACATAAGGCATTGTATAAAGTTTATTAGATGTGCTTCTTAAAACAGGAAAAGTTTGGCCTAACTCTAAATCTAAATAGACATTTCTATAAGTTGGGGGACAAGATATACAGGTTACTTTGATAAAGTAGAATTAAACATAATTTTGTAAAAACTTTAATCACAAGAATATTTTTTGAAGACATCCAACATCTCCAGTTAGCAGTACTGATTTTTTTTTTCCAATCAAGGAACACTACATCAACACTCTTGGCGGGGATCTGGACATGGAAGACTCCTGTTTCAAGAAAATATAATCATCTTTCAAAGGCTGTAACTTATATGCATTTCTAACTCACTAGGTATTGAAAACCACCCAAGTGTCCCACCATAGGGGAGTAAAATAGAATCAATCACTCAGTGTAATATTATACATCTTTAAAAATGTTATTGGAAAATGTTATATGATCTGTAAGTCAAAAGAATCCTCTCCCACCATTTCTTCCTGCTGTTCCCCTATACCCATGCTTCTTTGTAAAATTGGCATGTAAATTTGTTTTTCCCACCAAATGAGTCAGTCACAATGGGAATGTCAATTGATTTGATCAGATGTGTGTCAATGTTACGTGGAAAAATAGATGCCAATAACCAGGGCCACAGGAAAATGCAGTGGTTCCAACTCTGTAACAATTATACCTACACACAAACAAGGACAAATGTGGAACCCCAAATAGGAAAACAGTTGCATATTCTCCAGTGTGGGGAGATGGAAGGATTGTATACTGCTTTTGATTTCAGTTAATACAGGCAATGTCCAATTAAAAAAAAAACCCTAATAAGGACTCTGCATTGCAAATTATTTTGCTGAATGTTTTAAAACACCATGCCTGTCAACCCATCAAGGCAGAAGGAACCACAGGGGATTGGGTTTGTTCCATGAATCCTGGACTGTAGAGCTCAGGGCAACATTGGAAAAAACATGATCCTATTAGATGGGAGTTAACAGGCAGCTTTCCTGAGAGACTGTGCAAGAGGAAAATAAAAATAGGTTCAAAAAGCATGCTTGAAGCCAGACACAGTGGCCCATGCTTGTAATCTCAGCAACTGGGGAGGCTAAGGCAGGAGAATGGCTCTTTCAAGGATAGTTTCAACAACTTAGTGAGACCCTGTCTCAAAATGAAAAATAAAAAGGGTTGGAGATGTAGCTTAGTGGTAAAGCACCTCTGGGTTCAATCCCAGTAAAACACACACAAACACACACAGCATGCTTGGGGAAGATCAATGAAAGTTTATTGACATAAGTTAAAGTCTAGGACTATATCCAAGTTGGCATAAATTTCTAAAGATCTGTCTTTCCGTTGGCCTGCAGTATTAGTCTCATAACCCTAAAGTTTCATATACACTTTTATACTTTATTACATTATTCTCAAATGAAAAACAGTATATATACACCAGTTGCAGAAAATGTGTATCTCCCCGCCCCTGTACCCCCACTCATGCCCATCCATTAGTTAGTTACTGCTTACTAAATGAAGAAGGATCTCTGGATTCTTTCCTGATAACCACCTATCCCTGGCTCCACAATTGATCTCTTTAGTAAATTCAAAAGGGCTTAAGCCCCATGAGAATAGTAAATTGAGTCATTAGGGAGGAGCCCAGAAATAATTCTGCTTCCTGTGGTTGCTGCAGCCCTGGAGCACTCCCCTTAAACTATTGAGCTCTAGAATCTGAGCAACTGGTGGGAGAGTGGGGTGGTGGCCCTGCCTTCAGCACTAGAGTCAGGAAGCCAAAAACAGTGCATGCAGCAGGCTGAGACTTGGTTACTTTGAACTCTGGCTCTCCTGAGGCAGCACCCTCACCTGTTCTCAGTCCCCATCTCCACTCCTGGCCAGACCCTTGTGGCAGAGATACAATCTTCAGATTCATCATAATTCCAACATCTCGCTTTGTATGGTGCTTTTACCTACTTTTCCAGATGCTTTCCTATCTATTATTTGCCCCAACCTTGAAAGATAAGTAGAGTAAGGCAGAGAAAAACAATTACAAACAGAAAACTAGGATTCCTGGAGGTTAAGGACACATCAGAGACTAGCTTCTAGGACCTCTTCCTCTAAATCTATTAATCAGAACTGACTACACAGTAGTGACTGGAGTTGAAGTAGTTAGTATGTTTTGTTAGAAAATTTTCAGATTAAGCTGATTAGTCCAGGTGAAACTGATGATCTGGACACTTTCTGGGTGAGGCCCATGATTAGCCTCAGTATCACTAACTAATGATTGTAAGTTACCCAGCTGTGTATACAAGTCAATGGGCACAAGCTAAAAAAGTATGATTTAAATTCATTTGAAATCTTTAGCCCATATTTAATATTTTCTATAGATTCAGCCAAATTGAGGGAAAGCAAATGGAATGTCCAACCATAATTGTTAATTTAGTCCCTCACTCAATAGTACCTTTTTTGGCTGTGATAACTGTAAAAATGACCTAGAAGCCTGTAAAATGCTTACAAAACAAGTTTTAAAAATCAGGGCCAGAAAATCCCACAGACTCCATTAACTGAAAACTAGGAGCAAAAACTGGAGGGAACATACAAAACAAATATTCTTGTTGCTTAATGGTGGTAGAATAGGACCAAAAGTTTCTCCTTTCTGTACTTTTCCATGTATTTTTTGTTGTTGTCATTGTTGTTGTTATGCTATGTTTTTTTTTTTCACACTGTCAAACATAATTCTCTAAAAAGTCTTTAGGGGTCATGGGCGATACAGCAATTTTGGGCCAACGATGCAGAGACCTCAGACATCTCGGGGATCATCATGTCACGAGATACCACTGTGCACTTGTGACAGATTGATAACTGAAAGGTCTGGGAGCCACTCATCTTCATAGCAATATGTATTGTAAGTATTACAAGATCAATCAATGAAAAGATCAGGAGGAAATTGGGTGCCATGCAGTGGGGAACTGAATGGTATTCTCATAGGAGTTTAGTGGAAGTGTCTTTATCTTTTAAATTTTTATTTAGTGAATTGAAATTTACACAGGGCATGTGATTTTATATTCAGGCTAGGATGTTAAAATGAAGAATTTAGGCTCAAGAAAACAACTGGAAATACATTAGCTGTAAGCATTATAGACACAAGGTCATCTTTAATGTGTTGACTCCATACAAGTAGCCAAGAAAAACATGAAACTGCATGAACAGAAAGTCATAAAACCAGAAAAATATTTTCATTTCAGTATTTTTAAGGATGGAAATTGAGACCATCCTGAATGGCCAACAACAGAGGATTGACTAAATAAAATACAGTGTATTTAATACAATGGAATAGGGTGCTTTCATCTAAACTAATATTTCCAAAAATAACTTTTGTGACATAAAAATGTACTCACGGGCTGTAGATATAGCTCAGTTGGTAGAGTGCTTGCCTCACATGTACACAAGGCCCTGGGTTCAATCCCCAGCACCACCAAAAAAAAAAAAAAAAAAGAAGTATGGTAAAATGTTTAGTGATAAAAGAAACACTTTTTTTGTTTTTTCCCTTCTCTGAAATATAATACATACAGAGCATTCTATCTTCATAGTTTTGTATCAATCTCCAGATAAAAGGCTAGGGGGAAATACATCAACACTTCATAGTGGTTATCTCTGAGTTATGATCTAATGTGTGATCAAAGAAAGATGTGAGGGGCTGAGATTGTAGCTCAGTGGTAGAGTTCATGTGTGAGGCCCTGAGTTCAATCCCTAGCATGGGGGAAAAGAAAGATGCTGAACTATTTTTGCGATGTGTTCCTAATATGTAATAAGAATGTATTGGGAACATTTTGCATTTGTAGTTTTGTATCAATAATATGGAAAAAAGGCCAGGAAGAAGTAAACCTAAAGTTTGAAGGTGGTTACCTCTGAATTGTAGCACTATAAGAGATCAAAGAAAGATGCTAAACTGTTTTTGCGATGTGTTCCTAATATTCACTATGAATATATTGGGAACATCTTGCATGCATAGTTTTGTATCAATATACAGGCAAAAGGATGGAGGGCAGAAACAAAAAATAAATCTAGTAGTAGTTATCTGTGGATTGCTTTCATACTAAAAGTAAGGTGCAGAATTATTTTTGCAATATGTTCCTGAATATGTAATATAAGTATATATTGGGGACATTTTGCATGCATAGTTTTGTATCTCTCTATGGAAAAAAGGCTGGGAAGAAATATAACAAAATGTGAACAGCAGTTATGCCTGAGTTTCTAGTATCATAAATGATGCTTGTTTTTCTTTTTATACTTTTATGTATTTTCCAAGTAATTCTTATATAAACAAAATGTGTTACTTCTATAGCAATAATAAAGCTTATTTTATTTTTAAAAAGAGTTTGTATTTAAGTTCTCTTAAGAAGTCTGAATCCTTGACCTGGGGATGGGGGAAAATTCCTGTTTGAGCATCAGTGAACCTAGAATACATTTTCAACCTATCTTGGAAAACCTTGCAAAGCTTCAGTTGGATTTACAAGTACAAATGTGTCTTTCCATTTGCTCTTGGCAAAAGAAAAAGTCTACTTTAAAAATATAACCATGACAGAATAATAATAGTAATATTGCTAAACAGACTGCTATCTCCTGTCTAATCAAAGGAACACTTTAAGAAGTAAAGAAAGTTGAAACAGGCTCCTTTTCCTCTAGGAGCAATTCAGGAAGGCGGTGCTTGGATACTTGCCCAAGGTCTCATGACACACTTACCAGTTTGGTACACACCTGCATGCCCCCTGCATTTCCCCACAAATTATGTCAAGCTCCATTAAATTGGGTTGGAGGGCACATGTGAACTTGCCCCCGCCCCACCTGCCCATTTTAAGCAGTCCTTGCTCTGGTAAGAGATGAGACAGAACTATTTGGTAACATACCCAGCCCATGATCTGACAAGGCACCTACCAAAGGTTTTAATATCCCTCAATTGCACCACATTAGAAGAGGAACTAGGGTTCCCCCCAGCCTTCTAAAATCACTCTGGGGGAACTGTTTTCCCCCAAAGAATCATTCCTACTCTAGCAAGTCCATATCACTAGACATTATTTTCAAAATATATCTGTCATACTCCTTAAAGCTGAAGTCGCACTCGTGAGGCAAAACTATTCAATTATAAAGAGATATTCAGGGGCTGGGGCTATAGCTCAGTTGGTAGAGTGTGTGCCTCACATGCACAAGGCCCTGAGTTCAATCCCCAGCACCAAAAAAAAAAAAAAAAAAAAAAAATTCAGACCATTCTTCCTGTGTCTTGATGCTATATGCCCTCATTCTGCTTAGCAATAAATAACTACAGCTCAACTTGTCCTTTTGCTGAAATGTGTACGCTTCTCTTTTAAGTTTTTCAAAAGCATTTTTCCTTATCACATTATATTAGAGCATATTGACTTGGTACCTAGCTCTGTACTCCTTAACTTGTGGGAAGGGAGAAGGATGGGAGAGAAGCAAGGGTTAAGGCAATCCTGAGCCAGAGAGGCCTTGAACAGTGGAATTCCTTCCTCTGTCTGCCACCTGGTACTGAGCAGGAATCAGCTGGGGCTTTGACCTTCTTCTGAGCCATGTCTGATCACACAGAAAACTTGCTTTTCTAAGCTCAGTGATCCAAGTGGCCTCCTCTCCCCTAGGCCTCAATCTGGTTACTGGTAAACAAAGTGTGTGAAACAGGGGTAGAGTATGGGTGGGACCCTTTCCTAAAGGACAGATCTCATTTCCAGGCCTGAGAAAGAGAGAAATCCCCCGATTTGAGCACTGATCTTAACCCTTCTCATTTACCAGTGAAAAAAAAGATCCAGCTCCTGAATTTCTGAATCAATAAAAATTTCTAGAATTTGGTCAGTGCAGAGTGCACTCCTCCTAGTTGGGAGTATTCCAAGAGAGGCTGGGGGTGGGGGAGGCAGGGAGGGAGGGAGGGAGAGCTTCCCTTTGCTAACAGATCAATCCGACTCTCATTTTACAGAAGAGGAAATGGAGTTACAGAGAGGAAATAACTCACAGAGAGAAGTCATGCAGAGAATTGAGGGCAACCATAGAAAGTGACCCTTGGTCTTCAGGGCTCTTTCCAGTATAATACACTGGGTCTAAAGGACAAAGGGAGCGACCCAATACAAGGATGTGGGACTTGAGAGGACAGGGGAGAACAATCCAGGAAGGGGGAGCATAGCATGAATACAGCACAGACAGGAATGGATGCTATCTGTCACCAGAGTAGTTAGAAGATAGCCTGGAGGAAACTGTCAAGGTCAAGTCTTGCTTCTCCTCGTGGCCTTTGCATACTTTTAAGGGTATAACAGGGTTTCAAGGGGTGCAACAGCCCCTCCTCCCCCAAATATGGCAAGATTTCTTAGGGACAGGTTTAATTCAGTAGTGAAAATTTTAAAGCATTGCTTTTCTGTTAAAGTGAGCACAGATTTAAAAAGATAAAACTGAGACCTTAAAATCATTTCAAGCTTGTTACAGGCTCCTCCAGGCTGTCCTGGGACTCACACTCCAGTCTCATGCTGACGGAGTATTTATGCACTAGTCTCCAGACATTTGGCTTTTTGTTTTTCCTGCCAGTACCAAATTCTCCTTGTCTTCTGATAACAACACCCCTCCTGGGTTCTTTCCTTTTGGGGAACTGCCCCTCCTCCACTGCAATCAAGGGCTTTTGCAAGGGCTGCCAATCACAGGAAACGGTTGAGCCTCCCACCAGGCAAGAGACCCAAGGTTGACCAATCATAATATTCCATCCTCCTTTCCCTGGTGATTGCCCTAGAGAAAATTCACGTGACCCCAGCCTAATCAATCAGAGTACTTGCCTGGGATTTATTTCTTTTTTTAAATACTGAAATGGATGGAGTCTCTCTTCTGAAGTTTCTAAACCTGGTGTTGTATCAAGCTAGGCCCTCCCTTACCCTGTTCTACCATGTCCACTATGGGAGGACCCATACCAGGAGAGGGACAGAGACAGAAACACAGGATGATGTTGTTTGTGTCCCTGGACCCACACTGTTCTGTGTCCAGCTCCTCTTCCTTCCCTCTGTTACCAGAGCACATGTTTTCCTTTTTAAATTTTAAGCCATTTTATTTAGTTATTCCACAAATACTTAACTAAAGTATTCTAAGTGCCAAGCAACATTGCTGGACCTGGAAATAGAGTGGTGAATGAAAGAGGTATTTGCAGACCCTGCTGTCCTGGGTTCAGGTGCTAGATTGGGCCATGCTTCTATCACTTGCAACTGAAACAATGCTGCCTGCCAGATCAGGGAAGACTTAACATGCTAGCTTAGAGACTATTACAAGCAACAGGAGTCTGAAAAACTTTTGAGCAGAGGAATCACATGCTCTAGATTTGAGGCTGAGCCAGGTTGGAAGGACTACTGAAGGGTTGAAATGTGGTGGTGGTGGGGATTCTGATTTGCTCAATTAAAAAAAAATATTCTCATGAATCAAGGTATCTGAAGGAAAAGAAGCTCTCAGGAAGTGTTCCAGGCCCAGCTCCTGCCCTCCCTCCCCTCAGTGGGTCATTTGTTCCAGCCTTCCCTGATTTGTTCCATTTTCTTGTCCTTTGCCAGTGCCCTGGACTGACACTGGGCTTTGGGGCCCACTCAGCACTGGATTCCCGCCCCCCAACACACACACACACACACACACACACACACACACCTACACCTATCTGCACATGGAGTCCATGTACCACTGACAGTAACTTGTTAGCTGAGGGGAAGGCTGCTGTCTCCCTGCCCCAATCTACTTACTTTTATGACCCAGTCCAAGTGCTTCCTTCTTCTGAACCTTCTTTTAACTCTTTCCAGTGTCCAGTGTCCAGGCATTTGCTCAGAGAATATGATTTTTTTCAGGTGTGCTTTCTGCAATTCAGTAGGGTTATTCATACTAGCCAAAAGGTAGAAGCAACCCAAATATCCACTGATGGATGAACAAATTATATCTACAATAGGATACTATTCAGTCTTAAAATGTGCTATGGTTTGGATAAGTGTCCCTCAAAGGCCCATGTTGCTAAAGGCTTGGTTCCCAGCCTGTGGTACTATTGGGAGGTGGTGGAGACTTTCAGAGGGAGATTCTAGTGGGAGAAAGTTAAATCATTGGTGGCATGCCCTCAAAGGGGATTGTGGGGCTCACAGTCTCTTCCTTCTTCGCTCTCTACTTCCTGTTATGAGGCAAACAGCTTCATTTGCCACCTAATCCAGCTATGATGTGCTCCCTCACCACAGACCCCAAAACAATGGGGTCAACCTACTGTGAACTGAAACTTCCCAAACTATTAGCTGACACAAACATTTCCTCATTTTGAATACCTCAGGTATTTGTTACAGAAGTGGAAACCTGACTAACACAAAAAGGGAGAAAAGTCTGACACATATACTACAAATGAACCTTAAAGACACTATGCTAAGTGAAATAAGCCAGATACAAAAGGACAAATATATAATTCTACCTATATGAGTTTTGTGGTTGTATGAGTATTCAAACTTTTACAGACAAAAAGTACAATGGTGTTTGCCATGGGGGGGGGAGTAGGAGAGAGAGGGGTGTTAGTCATTATGTACAGAACTTCAGTTTTGGATGATGAAAAAGTTCTGGATAGTGGTGATGATTGCACAACAGTGTAAATGTTTAAAGCACCTGAACTGGACACTTAAAAATGATTAAAACGGTATTTTTTTCAGTGCTGGGGTTTGAACCTAAGGCTTCATGAATGCTAGGCAAACAAACACTCTACCACTGAGCTACATCACCAGCCTGAAAATAGTCACTTTTATGCTATGACGTGTATGTTACCACAATGTTTAAAAAGCGCAAGAAACTCTCTGAGATAATAATAACTAAAATTGGGGCAGGGAGGGCAGATGTGGCTTAGCAGTAGAATGCTTGCCTAACATGCATATGAATAAGGCCTGGGTTCCATCTTTGCACTGCAAAAACAAATAATAATAATAACAATAATTTAAGAACTCATGTTTTCGTGAATTTTTTTCTACGCATGTGTACAGATAAATGTGTTTTTTCTGATTTTGTCCTATAGACACCCTATTAATTTAAAAATATTTTAAGATATTTTGAACATAAAGCATATAAAATAATAATGCAGATGTGTATAACTACTCAGCTTTAACAAATTTTAACTTTTTTCCACATTTGCTTGATATATTTCAAGTCTTTATTATGTAATATTTTGTATATACAATATTATTTAATTTGTATGTAACATTAAAATGCACACTTGAGAAACCTTCATAACACCCACTTCAAATGTAGGGTCCTATACCCATATTTTTTAATGTACCTGCGTCCTTCCCCAGGTCACTCCCATGCCTTTTGCTATTTGCATCTCCCTCCCCAAGAAACACTATCCTGACTTTTGTGTTACTCTTCCCTTGCTTAGAAAACATATTCAGCCACACTTGTATGTACCTCTATTCTGGCTACTTATTTCTACTTCAAAACAACCTCAAACCCAATCGCTTCAACAGCTATTTAATTATACCTCCTGATTTTATGGGTTAGGAATTTAGGTAGTGTTTTCAGCTACGTAATTTTGGTATTTCACAGGGCAGATGGGCTGGGCTGGATTGTCTCCCTAGAGCCCTCTTATAGGTCTGGAGCCTTAGTGGGGAGGGTGGAAGGTGGAGTTCAGCTGAGACTGTTTCCTGGGTATAGCCCCCACAATGACTGGGTGGTACAACTTCTTTTTTGGTAGCTCAAGACTTCCAGAGTGTTCTAAGAGAGCTAAATAGAAACACAGAGCTATTTATGACTTTACTCCAGAAGCTCTGGAACTTCACTTGTGCTATTATCTATTGGTTCAGCAAGATTCTTAGGCCAGGATGGATTTAAAGGGAGGGGACTTAGCTCTGCCTCTTAATGGGATGAAATAATTTCTGGTCATCATTATTCTACCACAGTCCCACACAATAAGTTTTTGATGCCAGATGGTGACAGGGGCCTTGTATAGGCTGAGCATTCTATGACAAATGCCACCTCATTTAAGCTTATCCTGATATCTTCTTTTTCTTCTTGTTCTTTTTTTTTATTATGGAAAATCTCAAACATAAAAAGAAGAGTGTGTGAACCTCACATATCTCACATATACTCATCACTTCAAAAATTACCCATTGATGGTTCCTCGTTACAGCCATATTCCTACCTACATCTCCCATTCCCATATTATTTTGAAACAAATCCCAGACATTAAGCCATTTTATCAATACATTTACTATGTGTCTTAAAAAGAAAAGGACACTTTAACAAAAACATAACCACAATACAACTATTATTATTCCATATTTTGTAAAACACAATAATTCCTTAATATCAGTGGAGATTCAACTAGTGTTCAAATTTCTAATCATCTCCCAAGTGTCATAGATGTGGTCATATTTTAATGTTTGTTTGATTGGGATCCAAATGAAGTCTAGATATCACTACTAGTGGATATTTCTTTAAGTCTACCTTAAACTATAGGTTCCTTCTTTATGATATTTTTCCTTGCAATTTATTTGTTGAAGATATCAGGTTTTCTGTCCTGTAGAGTTTCCCCCTAGTCTGGAGTTGGCCATTTGCATCCCTGTGAAGTCATTTAACTTGTTATTCAGTCTCATTCATTGCCTGTAAATTTTTACTTGACTGTATGGGTTCGAATAAATTCCTGTTTGATTTTTCTCATAGGTAGAATATTCTGGGCTGAATACTCTCTCCAAAAGTCATGTCCTTCTGAAACCTGTGAATGTGACCTTATTTGAAAATAGGGCCCTTGTAGATAAAAATCAAGTTAAAGATGAGGTCCTATTGGATTAGGTTTCCCCAAATCCAATGACTGCTGTCCTTATAAGATGAGGGCAATTTGGAAACAGACACATATGGAGAGAAGACCATCATGTGAAGATGGAGACAGAAATTGAAGTTATGATGCCATCAAGGAAATCAAAGATTGTCAGCAGTTGGGTTGAAAGTGTAGCTCAGTTGTCAAGTGCTTACCTGGCATGCACAAGGCCCCAGGTTCCATCCCCAGTGGAAGGAAGGAAGAGAGGGAGGGAAGAGGAAGAGTTAAAGAAGGAACTTCCCCTAGAGACTTTGAAGGGGCATAGACTGTGAGCACCTCGATTTTGGATTTTTAGCTTCCAGAACTGTGAGAGAATAAACTTCTATTGTTTGAAGACACTCGGTTTATGATACTTTGTTACAGCAGACACAGGAAATTCATACAGGTGGTAGTTTCTTTAGGTCCATCTAGAAGCATATAATAGACAAGCATGGTGGTGCACACCTGCAATCCCAGTGACTCTGGAGGCTGAGGAAAAAAGATCTCGAGTTCAAGGCCAGCCTCAGCAACTTAGACTCTGTCTCAAAATAAAAATAAAAATGGCTGGAGGTATAGCTCGGTAGTAAAGCACCCTGGGTTCAATCCCCAGTACCAAAAAATAAAAAATAAAAAAAAATGCACATAGTATCTGGTTACATCTCTTTTTGTGATGCTACCATTGATGGTTAATTCTATTATTATTTTCTTATTTATTAGTCAAAACATTTATATAAGGAGAAATATCTCCTTCTGTACAAACAGTGCCACTGACTATTCCAGTAGTCAGTGGCGCTGTTTGAATAGGAAAAACAGTAAAAATGCTTGCTTTTCTTATTTTTCCTCTTTTTAAAAATCAACAATGAATTGCTTTTCTAGTATCCTCCAACAGTGAATAATAAACTGAGTTTGTTTTTATTTTATCCTTTTGGTACAACAAAATGTTCCATTCCAGTCTCTTTTGTATACTTCTTGACCCAGACCTTGAATTAGCAATTTCTCCAAGGAGCCCTGTTTCTTGCAATGGGAACTGATGATTTCAAGGTCACCATCTGACCCTTGCATACCATATTTCAAATTACAACCAGGCCCTTACATCTGCCTCTCAATCCCCTTTACCTTGCTCTGTTTTCCATAGTACTATTCTCCTCATGATACACTGGATAACATATATATCTATTAGTTATTGTACACACCACAAGAGTAGAGATTGTGAGCCAGGCTCGGTGGCATGGCCCTGTAATCCCAGTGTCTTGGAAGGCTGAGGCAGGAGGATTGCAAGTTCAAAACCAGCCTCAACAAAAGTGAGACACTAAGCAACTCAGTGAGACCCTGTCTCCAAATGAAATACAAAACAGGGCTGGGGATGTGGCTCAGTGGTTGAGTGCCCCTGGGTTCAATCCCTGGTCCTCCCCCCTAAAAAAAACCTATTTGCTATGGAATTTTTTTTACTATGCATAATGAATCCCATGTATCCAGTACCAACAATTAAATTATAATATCATAATCATAAACATAAGGGCACTGTAGTTTATTCTGTATCTGCCCTATTCCTCCCATTTCATTGGATTATTTTCACAGAAATTTCAAATTTCGACATTTTATAATACATATTTAATATGGCCCTCCCTCATGTTTGCTTCATGAGGGCATGAAGGACTGTTTTCACTTCACTGCTGGATTCCCAATCTCTAACTGTGCCTGGCACACAGTAGGTTCGGTAAGTACCCACGGAGTGAATGAATGAATTGGATATATAGAAACGTAAGTGAAGGGGAACAGGAAGGTATTCAAAATACAGTAAGATAAACTGAAATCTATTTCCATGCATGTATGAACTTGTCAGGGTGAACAGAACTACTACATATAACTATAAAGCTCCAATTTAAAAATGAGAAGCTGGTGAATAAAAAAAAAGAACAAACAAGTCAACAAATTTAAGAAACACACAATAAGATTCCTTATTTTCAGATACAGACTACAGAGGGAATATTTAACTGAATTTCCAACTTTTCTCTCAGGATTCAATATGAAAATATTGTATTTACT